TTCTGAATTAGTGGACAGCATGGTGGAACAGTGAGAACCTGTTTTACACCCACTGCTATCCAGCTGCTCTATTACCAGGTCTGTGCAGTGAGTGGTGCTGATGGAGATCTTCAGCTGGGACTTGAAAAGGAAATACTATGGTAGAAGTTTTTCCTAGCCAATAATCCACAGTAAGTAGTAAAGATAAACATATGCACTTTTGCGTGAAAGTACTGGTGCATCTCGCACCATGGTTATTCTAGTATGTGTTCATCTTCTTTCTAATATTGTTAACAGAAAATCTTCACTTTAAGTCATTTGGAAAATCCACATTTTCAAACCATTGAATGACAGCAGCAAGATTGATGAAAATGGTCCCCAATCTTTTTAGTCCCGTGGACTGTCGAGACTTGGCAATTTTGCTGCGGGGGGTGTGGCAGTCGTCAGATGTTTTTTTTCTCCCCCGATTTTCCCTTTACAATAATCTTACAACGTCCTGCAGTGTGTGGTGGTGGTGTGTGCCCCTTAAATATCCAACATTGTCTTGGGCCGATTATCGCAGCCTGTGGGATTTCCCTGACTGGGAGCGAGAACTCAGCCTGTTGAATGTGACAGGTAGCCAGTCAGAAAGTGCAGTGACGTAAGAACGGAGGGGAATCCAAAACAGTTCACCTGGCAACTGTGAGTCCGGTGGACATAGGAGGTGATATATAGAAAAGATACAAAATAGATTTAAAAAAAAAAGCATAAATGTAACTTTTTTGAATTGTGTTTTTGATTTCACCATTAAGAAACCTTTAAACATCCTGATAACAAAAATGAAAAATTGCAAGGAATGTGACAATACCGGAAAAAAAATCTTTCTTGTGATTTTCTGCTAATTTTACACTTTACAAGTCACTAAAGTAAACATATACTCTGTGTCAATTCCTCTGTCTCATTTCCTCAGACACAAAATATATTTGTCTAATCAATACTATCAAAAATCAACCTTTTTGATAGTATTATATTATTCCCTCATCAGTAACTTAGCTGAAATGTTGCTTTGATTCTTTCTAGTGTTGTAGTACTCAAGACAATTTTTTGATGGTCTCGTCTTGGTCTCAGTCTTGTCTTAGTCTCGGGCATTGAGGGATTTTATTTCAAGACCACAACTGTGGAAATATTACCAAATGTCCAGCATGTTGTCCAGTTTATTGGTTAACATCCTTGCTTTCACTGGATGCAAAACATACAGATTAAAATCCAAGCAATAACGCAATTTACTATTTACGTGTTTCTGTTTCTGCTGTCAGCTGTGGCCTCCCCCTTTCACTCACACACGGCGCTCTAAGACATGTTTTTCTCTGAGTGGCAGAAGAAGTCTGTCTAATTGGCAGTAATAGAAATCCGCTACATAGAAATGTGGGCAATAACTGGCGAACTAGAAGTAGCCATAAACAGGTTGGAGTCACTTGAGGAAAAACCTTCAAACTGATATTTAAGTGAAACATTTCACTACTGTGCTGTGTATGTGTGTATATCTCACATGAGCGAGTTTCAATAAAACATTGACAGAAAAAATAATTGATGTACTTCCCTATATTATCACCTTCTTCTCATAATGGATCCCATAATTCCTCATTAGGATAGATCGGTGTTTGGGTGTAGATGAGGGCTGGTAGATCTGGCAGCCTCATAAGAGAGGGTACTCACGGAGGAAACTCTTATCCCATTGACAATTCCCAGGTCATGCCTGTGGTAATTGAAATAACTTTGACTCTTGAGTTGTTTAATCATTGACAATCTCATGGATGGTGGAAAGGGACTAATTATATCTGCTCCTCCCTCCTCCCCAGCCTCTCTTAACAATATGACTATCTGATCAAATTGACTTCTTAGATCAAATTCTAATGTAATGCTGCTTCTATCTGTTCTTCTATATTTCTTCTCAGTCTCTTTACAGATGGACAGGCTAAGCTTTCTCTACTTTTCATGTAGAACACCAGCATTGTTCCAAGCATGGTTAATAACACAACAGTTCCATTAAAAAAGTCGATGAGAGATGTGACAAATCATTTGTCTGTTATTAACCCCGAGTCTGTAATTATGCAAATTGCCATAGATTTTCCCTTGATGCTTTAAAGTGTGATCTGGGGCTTGTTCTCTGCGTGCTGGGCAGACGGGAGAATGGTCATGCATTACTGAACTTGCCACATTCATCATGTTGACTGATGGCACAGGGAGTCAGTCCCCGGGTCCTGGTGGTTAATGTAGTGGGTAATTAACTGTCATTTGCCTAGTAATAGGACGATGATCAATGGTTTGTGAGGAAACAAATTCTAATACAGAAGCTGATGAATGCATGCCAAGGCTGGAGCAATTTATGTGGCAGAAAAGACAGGAGGTGAGGGCTGGGCAAAAGAAACAGACCACGCAGCTTCCAAGAGATCTTCTTTCTCCAGCTTCCGCTTCTATCTGAGTAGTGCACACCTAAACATCTACACTGATTGGCCCTTTTTGATAGAAATTGTCCCATAATCTGTTGTTGTTTCTTATTTTACTAAATCGCAATGATTAAGACGTATTCTGTTTTCAAATCAACATACTAAAGGTAAATAAATGCAGATTGTGATGCAGCTCGGCAGACGTAGAAGCAGGTCAGCCCAGTCTTCATTTGCCACTGGTGTGTGCTGCTACAGAAACCTTCAAATTTATTTCAGCTTCATCAAGCTGTATTGTCAACTACAAAATAAAATTGAAGTATGAAGAGTCATAACTGCTCGTTCCCGCAGTCCAGATCTGGAGGAAGCCAGGGTTAGTTGGGCCACCTGTGGTCCAGCACACCTGAACTGAACGGCTGAATGACCTCCTTTTTTATTTTATTTTACTTTTGATATAAATGTGTGTTTAAAGTTTTAAATATTTTTGTTTTGTTTTCTGCTGGCTCAGCATGCATTAAAGGAGTGTTTTTCACAGTTATAATAAATTTGACCACCTCTTGTTCTCAGAGTTTATTGCATTTATACATTGAATAAAAATCTATAATTTATACAAGTACGTAAGTTACATTTTTACCTGTTAATTTTTATTATTGAACTATTGAATTACTTTTGCCATCCACATATGTCTGAAGATTTGTCCCATATTGTGTTGAATTTTGCTAACAATGATAATTGTGTCTGGATGGTAAAATCCATCTCCTCTCCAGCCTCTGGGTTACATGCTCTCTGGAGGTTAATAACCAGCCCTGACTATCCCACACCCTCAGATCATTTATCAGATCGTGTTCTCTACAGGCTCTCAGAGCTGCATGCAGTTTTGTCATTTTAACACGGGCTGTGAAAAGAGCCTCAAGAACTTTGCTTAATAGCTTATCTTGCTTTATGATTTTGTTATCTGACTGCTGGATCCAGGTTGCTGTTTAGTACGGGGCCCAATGTTCACAATGTGCATGGAGCAGTGAAAGCAATGTTCCATCTTCTTCTGTGGTGCCAGCAGTAGCTCACATGCTTAAAAAAGTTTAATAATAATAATAGGATTCCATTTGGTGGTTGTGCTCTGTGAATAAAAATAATGTTTAATTGTGGCCTAAAACATGAGATAATTTAAAATTATGTAAGATATTTTTAATTGTTTCTAACTAAAGTTTTAATACACCACTCACAATTTTGAGTTTATTTGATTTATTGTTTTGAAATTTGAAAAAAAGACACTTTTGAAAATGTGTTTTTACAGTTATTATTATGAAGAAGAAATGAGCCATGGGAGAATGCTGTTGAATATTTTAGGAAAGATTGCTTCAGCATCAATTAACACAAGCTATGGTTAATTGTTTTTTAAGTCTAGAAGTTACCAGAAAATCACCAAGTTATAGTACGTCCGGAGATATTCACACTTTTCCTCATTTTATTATGTTGCAGCCTTATTCAAAATATAATCCATTCATCCATCCATCCTTGCGCAGTTGTGAGGAGAACTGGTGCATATGTCCAGTGGTCTATTCCAAATTGTATTAAATGAATCTCTTTATGGAAAATTCTACTCTCAAATACTTCATTGTGACAATGTGAATTCTTTTGAGTGTTTTGCAAATTTATTAAAAATACAGAATCAAGAAATCACATTTATGAACATATTCTTAGCCTTTGTTTAGTACTGTGTTTATCTTTGGCCAGCTCAGCTTACCTCTGTTTGGGCAGTTTAGTCCGTTCTTCTCTGCAGTTCTTCTGGAGCTCCATCAAGCTGGATGGAGGGTGTCTGTCAGAACCAGAGTCCGGTCTGGACTCTGGCTTTGCCTTTCAGGATGACCACAGAGAGGTTCTGAAGCCTCACCTTTGGGTCGTTGTCCTGCTGAACTAATGAAGCGTCGCTCCAGTCTGAGGTCAAGACACTCTGCAGCAGAATGTCTCCATGACTGCATTCATCTTTCTATCCATTCTGGCTAACACTTCCTGTTGTTCTGTAAACTGTGAACCCTTATAGAGACAGGTGGGAATCTTTACAGGTTAAGTTCAATCAACTGAATTTCCCACTGTTGGATTTCATTTAAACTGTAGGAACATCTCAGGGATGATTAGTGAAAATGGCTAAATTTTTAGCTTCATGGTAAAGGCTGTGAATATTTACATAAAAGTGATTTCTTCTGTTTTCCACTTGTTTTTGTAAATTTGCAAATGACTAAAAATATATATATATATATATTTTTTTCAAATTGTCATGATGGATTATTTGTATGTGAAAATGTGAGGAAAAAGATTCATTTATTACAATTGAGGCTGTTACATAACAAACTGTGAAAAAAGTGAAGCGCTGTGCAGATGTTCCAGATTTATGTTGATTGATAATTTGACAATCATTTTGTGCCATTGTAAGTTTAATTAATTTTAAATGATCTTGTGATGAATTCAGTTTTTCAAAATGATTTGTAAGCTTTGAAACTTGCCTGTTAGTGTTCTTTCCGTCTTGTAATAATTAAGACATTTCTAATGTTTTCGTATTGTTTTGGACTCAGTCATATCTTGTTTGTGTTCGTGGTTTAGGTTGTTTGGTGTAACAGGAAACTGTGCAGCCTGCAGCAAGCTGATTCCAGCCTTCGAGATGGTGATGAGGGCAAAAGAAAATGTCTATCACCTGGATTGCTTTGCATGCCAGCTCTGCAATCAAAGGTAAGTTGCTGCATGGAGTGTGTTGCTCCCACCCATCCTCACATGCTGATAGAGGCGAGGAAGAACTGGGGCACCAATGAATAAACCAGCAGAGCAAATCAAATTTAATTCATTCAGTTGTTTTTTTATATATATTATTATTATTACCAGAGATTCTCTCCACAGTAACATCATCTGATAGCACATTATTTAAATTACTTTTGAACCGTTCATTCTTACAGTTCTTATTTGGTCGCAGTGTTTAGAAGGGCAGGAAGCATAAAACATGTATTTTATTTCTAAATAAACATCTGTGATGTCATCAGTGAGGGCCGGATTGTGTTGATGGATCTTGACAGGCTCTCATCCAAAAGTCAAAGAGTTGCTTCTGGGAAGTATGTGTCCGTTTGGGATTATTTAAGACTTGATTTATTTTTTTTATATTATTGCCAGAAATATACTGATATTAACAAATCTAAGGCACTGAACCAGGATCATAGAGAGAAAAAGTTTGTTCAAGGGAAGGCCATCATTTAGAAACGAGACATTCACTGTTTAATATTCTTGATATGATGTGCTTTATTTATTTGAAAGGGGATAAAGGGCCAGTGTAATTGAATAAAAGCTGCGATAGTTCATGAGTTTAAAAAGCCAAAATTAGCCAAAAGGCTATTTTTTACCTGTAGTCCCCAGGTAATGATTTTATAAAAGTAATACAAGTGTGTAAGACACACAGTTGGTAAGGAGATAAGACTGCACTCGTCAGAACCTGACGCATCAAGAAGACAAGAAATCAATACTGTTAAGAAAACAGAAACAATAGAATATAAACAATATGAAATGACAGACCCAATTTATTTAGTGTTGACAGGTATTTGAATGAACATGTAAGGTTTTCAAATGTGTAATGGAAGCCTTATGTTATTTACCTGATTTCATCAACTGTTCTTCCACCAGTTAAGCATTGCATAAGAATCTTAACATTTATTTATTAGCTGTTAAAGCTATCATGCTTCCTTCTGCTGGCACCCTGTAGAGGAAACTATTTCAGATAAACCAGATTCCAATAGAAGAGAAAAGGAAAAGCTTCAACAATTATGTTTCATTTCTTGTGCAGAAGAGATGCAATTTTTTCTTCCTTTTCCCCACTTTATTCATAACATTAGGATGGATGACTCATATTTGTTAAAATTATAATGTACAGTGGGCTTATTTTTCATATCTGCTACTTTTGCCTTTAAATTGTCCAGAATCTGAGCATCCTCTATCTCAGCATTAAAAGTTGAACTCCTGCATTCTTAAATCCAAACACAGAGAGCATATTGAGGCGATAGAGGACAGGGTGGAGGCGCCAGATATGAGGATTCGTCCTGTAAGCAGTTAGCCATAGATCAGCCCTGGGGACAGCTAATCGATGAGGCTGTCGCCCAGCCTCATCATCCAACCCTTTTTCCCCTGAAGAACCGGAGGCCACAGAAGAGCTGGTGGGTCAAGGTCAGTGTAGATGGTGGCACAGGAAACCCAGCTGGGTGACAGCAGAAGGGAAAGGTCAGTGCTGATGATGGGAAAAACTTCACATTGGACAACTTGGAACCTCACACTAATTCTGTTGAACAGAACAAAACCTGTGCTGTTTGTCAGGAATTAGAAGTGCTGGGGGGGCTAAAGAAGAAAAGGTAACCAATAGCTAGCGAAATAAAAAAATATATATATATTTTAAACTGTGACATATGTACAGATTTATTTTAAAGCTTGTCGTTGTCATTCAGCTGTTAAACACTTCATGGTTGGGATGATGTTGCCCACACACTAGTTGGAAGTCTTGTGGGCAAAAATATTGATTGCCAAACAGTGTCAGGTAAAAGTCACTGTAAGGTTTATTAATACCATGCATGTGTTATGAGAGTCACAAGATCAGACATTCATGAGTAAAAGCTTTTGACAAAGAAGGCACCACATCAAGATACAAATAATGAATGGATGGACAACAAAAACTCTCTACTTCTACCTATCTGATTAAAAAAGGTCTGTCAACACTCTTGGTTCTCAGACTTATTTTACGTATGTGGAAACTAAACATCCGTCCGTCTCTTGACCACTGGGTGAGAGAAGTTCTCTACTGGAAAAACTTTGACTTTCACTCATTGGCTCTGCCAACAAATTTATGGAGACCTGGAACTATCACTATCACTTTGCTGCCTAATACAGAGGAAAACTAGACCATCTGTGGGCCCTTTTATCCTATGTATTAATTTATTTACATATTTTTTAATATTTGTTTTTTTTTTATTGAGTATTATTATTCCTTCATTTATTTACTGTTGATTTTTCTGTTGTCATTTCCTGTCTCATTTAGAACATGCGTGGTTGTGTTGATGTATGTAATGTTGGTGTGTCCAGTTCCAGGGACTGGATCTCTAATTGTTAGTCTTGTGTTTGGACTCGATCATGTTGTGTTCATGATGGGCTGGGTTTATAGAGAAACCAGCTTCATTTTTTTTTTTACTTTCTGTATCTCTTATTTGTGATCACTGTGTTTTCATTGTCCTAATGATTAATAATGAATGTCAAGCTGTTAAAATTCAATAAAGAAAGTTGGAATAAAAATGGTTTAGACCCTAGAAGGTTCAGCAGACATTTTATTTAAAGTTTTTAGCTCTGATGTTTCATGATTTTATCAGATTTTTGTGAAATCCTGAATGATGGAATTTTGTGCACACAAAAACCTGTTGTGTTTTTTCTCAGAAGAGCTTATAGAGAAAAAGATTTCAGGGATACATCAGGGGGACGAATGTATATCAAAGTTTTAAAGCCTTCATTTCCTGGAACTTCCTGCACACTGTAGGTTTATGCATAACAAAGATGTCTAATCTTAGACTGAAAGGTCTTTACAATCACAGTTAATTAAATATAATTCAATTATTTAAAACTGGCACAATCATTAGAGATGTTCAGAATAATAAAATAATGAGAGAAATAAATTAAACCCTTGTTCCCTCCGAAACAGAAGTGCGCAGTCAATCTGCCTCGCTCGACTGTGAGCCTGACTACAACCAAAAAGCTGAAATTAGAACTGAAGACAAGAAATTAAAGCTGACTGAGCTGCAGAAAGAAAGGAGTAAAAATGTCACATATGAAAGGTAGCATAATGCTACCAGTCATACGCCGTGATTACAATCAAGGTCGCAATAGTTGAGGGTGAGTTGGCACCACAGTCAGCTGGCTAATGTAGCAGTAAGTCAGGCCCACTGTGGAGCGTTAATGATGGGACTCATGTTTTGGTGATCATCTAAGTGCCACCTGTCCTCTGCTTCTCTGCAGGTTTTGTGTGGGAGACAAATTTTTCCTGAAGAACAACATGATTCTCTGCCAGACTGATTATGAGGAGGGGCTGATGAAGGAGGGCTATGCTCCACAAGTCCGCTGATTGTCCAATCAGAGGAAGAGGAAGAGCAGAAGTGAAATGAAGAGACTGAAGGAGAGCATGCAATCACACAACAAAATGCACTATTGCCTCCTGTCCAGGTTCTGTACCCAACATGTACATAAACTGGGACTCACTCTACTGTACAGAATGGCCATAAAGACAATGTGGCAAAAAAAAAAAAAAAAAAAAACTGGTGTAAATTCACGTTTGTATATTTCATTATTTCTCTCTGACGGATGTTGGCTCTCTTTACCTGACAAAGAATAAACTAACTTTGCCCAGAGAGTGATCACTAACCAAGTTCTGTTCCTGGTTCAAAGTTCACTGGTTTCATTGTACTCAGTAACAGACAGCATCCCGCCTGACTGTAGGATTCAAATACTTAAACTTAACACCAAGATTAGTTTATGCAAACCTGAATCACAGGTATTTTTTTTTTTTTACTTCACAACTAAACAGATAAAGGGTCCCCTGCTCTCATTACACTCTTTGTGGTTCATACACTGCGATCCTTTAATAAGTTTAAAAACGGACATTATTTTCCTGCTCCTGTCTCAGGCTACTGTCTGTAATCCTGTTCTGAGAAAGTTCAAGTCAAATTTTTACTACCTGTCAAATATTGTTTTGGTAAGATTCTGAAAACATTGAATAGAGTACCTACTGAAAACTTTTACTCCTTTGGATGTGTTCCAGTCAGATTGCTAAAGAAACTTAAGCATTTAACATTTTAACAGTCAAGTATGTTTACAGAAGAGAATAAAGCAAACCATTGTGTTCATTAAATCTATACAGTCAGATGTTCTTACAAATCAATCATTATAAATAAAAAAAATTAATCCTCCAATGTCAAAGTCAAAACTGATTTTAGCAAATAACACATCTAAAAACACCAGCAAATATACAATACCAGAGCACTATATTAATGAAAAATGTCGATACACAGAAAATTTTTAATGTCTTTGGGATTCTCCTCCAGGAAAATTGTCATTTCTGTAAACACTGAAAAAACACTAAAAACATGCAATAACAAAATTAGTAAAAAATTAAAAACACATCATCACATCCATACTCTCAAAATCTCAAAAACAGATTCATCCACTCACATTTTCAAGTGAACGGGTTCATTACATTGTCTTGCTTAAAAACATAAGAAAGTTAATTCATCAAGAAAGAATATGACATCAGTCAGCGTAGTTATCTACTCTGACTGTTGGTTCCCAGAAAGTCAGAGCTTTCTGGGAGTTCCAATGATAAAGACACTCTGAAGAAAAGTCAGATTAAGGCAGGACTAGAGTTTGCCAAAATACATGAGGGAGACTCCATGGCCAAATGGAAGAAAGTTCTTTAGTCACTATTACCACAAACACACAATCCCCACTGTGACACAGTGATGGCAGAATTATGCTGTGGGGATGCTTCTTGGTACCAGACCTGGCTCCTTGTAAAGGTAGAAGGTAAATGGTCTAAAGACCAAGAAAGGCCCATTCAAAGCCCAGATGTGTCCCATAGAAAACTTGTGGCAGTTGTTTAAACAAGCTGACAGCTGGAACAGTTTATCTGGAAGAATGGAGAAGAGTTGCCTGAGAGCGATTCACACAGAGAGCCAGCTGATAAATACACACTTAAAGGGTGATCACTTCTTCTGTTGTATCATTTTATGTAGCTGTCAGAAATCCACTCACATTTTCAAGTGAACGAGTTCATGACATTGTTTTGTCATGCTTGAAAACATAAGAAAGTTTCACTTTGACATTAAGGCTTTTTGTAATTTTGGTCAATTTGGAAAAGCAGTAAAAGGATAAAACATCTAAGGGGTGAATTCTTTTTACAGGAAGTAAAATGTAGCATTCAAGCAAGAAGGGTTGAGTTTGTTATAATTCATTCAATAGTTTCTGTGATTTTCCACCTTCTCCTTTTTCATCACCACCAAATTTAGTAACTGACTGTTAAAGAAACTTAAGCATTTAACGTTTTAACAGTCAAATATCTTTACAGAAGAGGATAAAGCAAAGCATTGTGTTCATTAAATCTATACAAATACCACTGCATCTATGTGTTCACGGCTTCTGGGTTAGGAGTTTTACAAACTCCTGATATTTACAGATATTGACCAGATATTTACAAATTGGTCAAAAACTTAGCTAATGGGTCGAGTGTTTTGAAGCCAACAGTTGTCAGCAACAGATTAGAAAAATGAGAAGGAAGAGAGTGGAGTTATTGAGTACCACAGGAAAAACCTCTAGAAAATTACTGGGCTGCGTTTTTAGATCGGCCTGAATTTGGAAATGGACTCCATCAAAACTTTTTCTCTTACACTAAATTAAGCTGACATAAACCATTTGGAGACCTTTGAACACATTGTACAATGCAAGATTGTTGCTGTTGCTCAAATAAGTGGTGTTGTTAATTGTCAAAATATTTAGACCTCTTCCCTTTCAGATGCGTGTGACATGTTCACCACAGGTTTATGTCAATTAATTTAGCTTTTCTGTGCAGAGGAACATTAACTTTAACAACCAACACTTGTCAAATGGTCAAAGCAGTGGAGACCATTCCAGGTTCCAGAACTGCAAACTTTATTTCAACATGTGGCATGTCAGTCTGTGGTTGTACATTAAAACTATAACTCATTTTTCCTTTTTTTTTTTAAAGTGCTTTTTATGGGCGATCCAACAGGAGCAGTTAGATTGGCTGCTGATTGGCTGCTGTGTTTCAGCTCCTGACAGCAGCAGCTCTGTCCTCTGGCTTAGCTCTGAACTTTGGGACAGCCAGTGTTTTAGAAATAAGTAGAATTGCTGTTTAGTGAGTTCTAGCACCAGTTAAGTCTTGGAGACAGAATTACCTGCATTTGATGAAGTTTGAGAGAGTGTACCTTAAAACTTCACAGCGTCTGATCACACAAGAACTGATGCCATTATCACCTCTGCTGCCTGTAAATCATTTGCATTCCCATGGCTGATTTGTTGTGTGTGACATTACACCCAAATTGGACCAGTCCTTACTGCTACTTAACTCAGTTTTAACCTTCTGACTGAAGCTTGAGCTTTGTTTCAAACAGTACATGAAGAACAAATCGCTACTGCTCTAGTCTGATTGGTGTTTTACTGTCAACTTGTTGAAAGTAATTCTTAAATTGTATTAAGAGCAAAATACCCAAGGTAATTAAGCTAATTAAATTTCTTTGTGTTCGACACAAAGAAGAGAGGGAAAGTGTTTGATCTAGTTAATGCTATTGAAAGCTCTTTGTTATTTCTTAATTGGAGATCTAATTAAAGAAACTAACTGAGCCATAGGATGAGTTTTCTTTTGTCCAAGCCGTGTGTTATTGCTTGATGGAAGATTTGTCAGTTTAATCCTCTCAGTTTCGCACAGCTGTAATTTTTTTCCACATGACTCACTGATATTAATGTCTCCTGAACATAATGGTTTTCTCTGCAATCAGGTTTATAATTTATGTGTTGACCAAGAATTGCCATTGAAAGGTTTTTATAGATAAAAATACTCACAAAGTTATACTGCAAAGTACTTGTAGTGGTCAATACAATACAGAAATTAAATTGAGCAGATCTAAAAACAAGATAACTGACAATCTGGCAAATGAAAAGGTATATTAAAAGAAGGTGGAGAAAATTTCGAGAATGTGAAGTAGAAAAATTTATAATTTGGAAACAAAGATTTGGAAAATGAAAATGTTTGCACATCAAAACGAGAAAATATTATGTTATAGAGTTGGTCATGGTAAAGAAAAACTCTTTGATAATGTTAAATTAGCCTCGCCTGCTAGAGCCCATGGAAAGGCTGACAATTTACAGAAGCACTTAAAAAGGCCATTAGCAGCAAGTTACGCATCATTAGCAGAATCATTCATGTTCCAGTTGACCCTGAAGTCTGTGTTGGCTCCACAGACTCCCTGCTCCCCTTCCAGGAGAAAAACACAAACCAATGCTGAGATTCATCTTGCCGCTTTCAAAGATAAGGGAGTAATGTTCTTGAACATCACAGCTGTCTGAACGGCTGATTAAACACCAGCAATGTTCCAGCAATAACGAGTAAATCATCCATGCACAAGACTATCGAGGAGTTCTGATTAACCAGTTCAACGATACTCTCATCAAAGAATCTGTGGATGAAGTTCAGCGAACTGTCCGATGTCCTGCTGTTCAGCTGGAGAAAACCAAAAGCTTCAGAAATCGAGATGCTCAGAACTAACCTGATCAAACAATTATAAGCAACAATTATAAATAAAAATAAATTATTTCTTTTTGTAATCATTTATTTCTATCATCATTTCTTTTTCTTGGACATATCAGCTGAAAACACATATTAGCTGAAATATGTGTTTTATTAGCTGAAAACACATGATGTGCTGTTTTAATAGTCTATCCATACATGTACTCCATAATGAGTACATGTATGGATACGATCTGTGTTTCATTAGAGGTTTTGATCTAAATTATTATTAGTTTAATGAATAATTGCCCAAATCAATTATATATATTCATAGCCATTATTCATATTTATATTGGAAGCTGTAATCATCCAAATGAAAGGCTTGAAATATTTCACTCTGTTTGTAATGAATGTAAACAAGTTTCACTTTCTGAAATGAAAGACAAAAAATATAGAAATTTTTAAATATATTCTGATTTATTGAGGTTTTCTTGTTCTGGTGGGGTTCACTACCTGAGTGAAGATGGATCATCAATCAAATCTAATAAAATGTTAGATTTCAAGCATGCTGTGGGGATGCTTCTTGGTACCAGACCTGGCTCCTTGTAAAGGTAGAAGGTAAATGGTCTAAAGACCAAGAAAGACCCATTCAAAGCCCAGATGTGTCCCATAGAAAACTTGTGGCAGTCGTTTAAACAAGCTGACAGCTAGAACAGTTTATCTGGAAGAATGGAGAAGAGTTGCCTGAGAGCGATTGGAGATATTTGGAGCTGCATTGGGATAAAGAAGATGTCCAACTTCTGACTCCAGCATGTGTTTGTAGATAGGAGTCTTTTTTTTTCTAAAGATTGCTTGGCTGCAATCATCTCTGCTTATCAAGCTGGCTTTGCGGTAGTCTCACAGGACTGTGGAAGAATTTGGAAACACTCTTTCTAAACCATTCCAAGTTCATTAAGACTGGCAGGCATTTAAATGTTGATGCCTGGTATGTCATCAACACACCACTCAGCCTCTAACACCATAATGAAATGATTTCATTCAGAGGAAACATTCAATGAGTTATTGATCAATATGTTTCATATTTTTTCCCAGCATGGAAAAGATGCATGAAACTAATAATGAGGCAAGTCTGAATTCCACAGTCAGGGAACGTTTTTGGGTTTATTAGACTTCTCTTTGATGCAGCAGAGTAACATTTAACAGATCCCCATCGTGGCCATTAGGTCTCAGTTTTCAAAGTCAAGCATGCAGAGAAAATTGCTGCATTGAACCTTTCATAAATGTTTGCACATGGACACTCTGTCTCTCTCAGCCTCAGCTTTCCACATATGAACATTCACCTTTGGTATGGCGACGACGGGTTCTGTTGTTATTTTTTGGCATTAAGTCGAGGTGACCTCTGAGGGAAATGTTTGGGGATGGTTTTTTCTATTTTCATTTCTGAAGTTTATTTACAATAAGATTAGTAGACCCATCAAATGATAATGAGTACATGTATGGATACGAGTAATTAATAAACAACAATTGAGTTAGAGTGAGGCACATTCTATTTTATTCTACTCTATTCTATTCCATTCTATTCTATTCTACAGGGGTTGTTGTAACACTGTTGTATTTGTAAAAGCAATAAAAAGGTTAAAACATCCAATCACTGCATCTTTGTTCAGTTTGGAACACGGATGGCTGAATCATTTTGACCCTCATCATGCTGAGTAGATGCATGACGAAGAGGAAGCAGGTGTGAGGCTGAGTTCAGGAGGGAAGCAGCATGAAGTTCATACTGGGGTATGAATGTTGCTCAGTTCACTCAGAAGTGAGCGGACCAACTTCTGGCTTCTGTTCTGGATACATTTTGCTCTCTGCCTCAGTAGCTGCAACAGCTGATAATATTTTGTCAGTGCCATGCTCTCCTGATTCCACTTTAAATCTAGCTAATGTCTGATCAGATCTGATCCAGGCTCAGCGCGGCTGTTTCCATAGTTCTTTTTATGAAAGATCGTTAAATCTATGACTTTTAAATTTTACTATTTAATGCTCATGAGTCTTGGTATTTCTTTGGTGTGTGAAAGACTATTTTTTTATGACATCCTAAACATTACTTGCATACTGTTGAGCTCATTTTTCATTTTCCAAAATACAATAATGGCATCCATTCCTCAATTGTATCAGGTGTGGTTATCAGGTGAAAGCTAACCAAATAATAATCTAGCCCAATTGCTACTTAAAAGAAGACAATGAATGAAGTTGGTAAGAGAGAGTGAACGTCGTCAGTGAAACACATCTTCTTCCAGCAGGACAGCAAAGAAGCGGGAACAGATGATGGCCTTTCAGCAGGCGTCTGCACACCACTGACATCATGAACCACAACATGAAGCAGACTGAGGACTGATAACCCTGAACTAAATAAAAACAGGAATGTCTAGCTTCATTTAAAGACATAAAACAAAAAAAAAAGGTCATTTGAACCTCTTCTGCATGCAGAGAGCAGGATAAGTAAGTTTTATCTGAATAGATATTCCAACCTTCAAGGTGCTGATTTTAGATAAGTGCATTCACTTTACCTATGGAGATCTTAGTTTTCTTTATTAAATAGTTCTGGAGTGAAACTGCTTTTGGGTTAAGATTGATGCTCTTTTTTTAAATAAATCATTTTAACTAATTTTCTGCTTTCAACCAAACTATAACTATCCTCAAAATATCAAACAAGACAAGACAAAAAGTTTTTTTCCAGTGACAGCTATCTTCTGTACAAACTATGGAGTAAGAATGAAACCAGAAGCCAACTTTCTTCTGCTACTGAATTATATATTCCCTAAAGCCCTACAGGGTGCTCATAAGACAGTCGCTCCTGCTATTACAGAAGGTTCCATTTCAAAGATGCACAGCTTCTCTTCACATTTCTCTTGGTGACATTAGTTTTCATGTGACCCCATTCTTCCAAACGACAACAAAAGTAAACTTTGTTTCTGGCTTGTGTGTGCTGTGTTCCCTGTGGTGTTAGTGTAGCTGCGAGAACCCCTGTTCTAATTCTGTCATTGTCAAACTTCTTCAGTAATCTTTGTAAAGTGACAAAAAGTGAATAAAAAGGTCCCAATTCCTCTGCGCTAAATGTTTCAAGGAAACTGTAAGGCATTATGTTAAATACGCCAACTTTCAGTCAGGCAGTCTCCTCAGCCTCCACAGACAGGTCCAGCAGGCAACACTCCAGACAGCAGACCCAGGCCTCTGAAGCATTTTGCACCTTTTGAAAATAACAACTTTGAAGCTGATATTAAGCATGGTTTTCATTAAACCCATATTTTTGTACTATAAATTGTTGGTTTGTAATCTAATTTTAATTGTCATGTTTTTATTAACCCTTTAACAATCGTTTTTACCAGTTGAGAGCAGGTCCTATAAGGAGCTCAGTTCCAACAGATTTTTGCTAATTGCTGTGGCAGCTACAGCTGTGGGGAGGATTTCAAAGGCGGGGCTAGATCCACCCAGGTGTTTTGTATCGCTGAATAGTTGCCACGGAGATTGAATGATTTCTCAAAAATGAATGAAAGAATCAAGGCAACACCATAGTTTTTTTTTTGGTGAGGGAAACATTATAATATGATGGCAGACAAAAAAGTTGATTTTCCATAGCACTGCTCCTTATACGAGTTATTTGACCTCTTCTGTTTCAGGCTCCTGCTCTGCTGCCTTTGTCAGTTTCAGTCTTTGTCTCTAACAGTTCTGAATCTCTTTTTTGATCAGCTAAAACCTTCTGGTTTCCCTGGTAATCTTTTTCCCCGTTGCCACTTCAGAGAGGCTTTCAGCAGGCTACCATAGGACCTTGTAGTCTCTGAGGCTTTGTAGCATGCTGTGGTTGATTAAAAACACAGCTTGTTCTCCTTCATTAGTTTTTTTATTTTTATTATTTATTTATTTTGGGGTATTTTGGAGCAATGACTCCTGTTCCTATCAAAAATACAGAAAAAGTTTATTTTTGCACACTGAAAAGATTTTTTTTTCTGACAGAAATTGTGTTTCTTGTCGTTTCATTTTGGCTTTAAAATGTGTCACAGCACACCATCATCTCTTTTGCTGTTTAATAACAATACACATTATTACCATATAATATGTTATATTATTACATATTATAACATATAATATGTTATATTAATACATATCATAATATGTATACTATAACAAAATATTATGTTGATTCGTTAAAAAAAGTGTTCCAGGTTTTCGAGGAGAAGCTGTGTCAGGAAGCACTGCTCCATTGGTTGTGTTTAAAAATGAAGTCAGTGATTAATAAGCTTTTTCCTGCAAAAGACTTTACAATAAATAGTCTTATTTTATCAGTTATTTTTATATTTTTCAATGCATGCAGCTAACGTGGAAGTATATTCAGATTTGAGTTACTCTGTCTTTAGCTAGTTTAGAATGGATTTCTATGGCCTGGAATAAAAATGTTCCTGAAACCAGGCAGAGCTGACTGAAGTGTCAGCTTTGAAGCCAGGACCAAAACACATGTTCTCTGTTTTTGGAGTCAGAGGATAATTCAGACAACTAATGCAGCATGTCACTCGGGTTGAGAACAGTTGGATAACAGGCACATGTTTTTTAAATGTTGTCTTTCCACCACATGGTTTCAACACAGATTAATTTCAGCTGCTTTACTCAGAGCTTGTGGAGCAAAGCAGCTGGATGAATTTGACTGATGAACATGACATTTTAATACATTAATTTCACATATTTTTCAGTACTGATTGAAAAACATTTTATAATCATAAAAAAATAGTTATAAATTCCTAAAAATAGGTATTTAAGTAGGTTTTTACTTTTTTGTTTTCTCAGCATCCCTTTAGTATTCCAGTGGCTCCCCGGTGTTTGAGAAACACTGAGTTTATTTGCAAACTTCAAATTGTCAATACTCATTTCTGATTTCTTGGCATGTTGTGTATTGTTAACAAAGATAAATTTTTTCCTACACATAATAAATCCACGATCCTTACAAATCAGAAATTTGTGTTGTTGATTGATCACTTTCACTCTTGCACACATATAGAAAACTATAAAGTCTATTTCTGTTTTTCATGCCATGTTACCTGTTGACCACTAACTGTTGGCATGGCCTCCAAGTGACTGACATGAAGTCTTTTTTAGTCAAGATTTGAGGAAACTTCCTTCATTTTGGATCAAATGACATCAATAACCTTCTGAATTCCAGAGGCCAGATAATGAACAATGCGTTCATCTACATGAAGTTGACTGGCTGCTAAGAGAACTGAAACCCACGGCTGGTCACTGGAAATGGCAAAGTGAAGTTACCGTGAAGTCTGCTGCAGGCAGCCTTTCATCACCGTTGTGTCCCGTCCCTGGAAACAGGAAAAGCTTCATAGATCATTTTTCAGGCTCCTTCACATCACAAGGTCTCTCATTTCTTTGACCATGTTGCCATTTTACAGCTCACTGGCTGAGGGAGGATCTCTCTGAGCCTTCTGTGACAAACAGTGCCAGACCCATCCAGGATGTTTCCTCACACTGATGTCAGGAGTTAATGATTAAAACCAAATAATTCAGTTCTCCGATGAAAATAGATTACATTGATTTTTAACAGGCAAAAGAATCCTGAGAGTGCTGCTGAGTTACGTTCACAGATCCAGAATGCAGGACAGGTCAAACACAGATATCACTATAGTGATAATGTATTAATCTATATCAGTCTATAGACTAACACACATAATGATCTGACAAACAGAACAGCTGGAATCAACCTGCATGGGGATTAGTAACAGTTTCCATTTAATTAATGTACCCAATTTGATTCTTTGCTTTTTCTTTTATAGTAGTAGTTTGTCTCTGTTGATTTGATAATTTTTCTTAAAGACTCAGTCATTCTCCATCTGTTTTTCTTCCCGTTTTAGGGAGGACAAATGGCAGGGGAAATATCCCCGTTTTCTTTATCTGTAAGAAAATTCCAAGGATTTGGATTCTACACAGTAGTGTTTTTAGAAAAACCTAATTACAATTCTGGTGTTTTAGTTTACCAGCGTGCTCTGATTGTAAATTAATGAGAGGGACTGAAGAAACGAGAAATCTTTCAGCCCTTTGATTAAAATATTCCTATATCCGTTTTACATCTTTCATCATACAAGTCCTCAAGACCAGATTTAGAACTTATACCAATTAATAAATAGAGCAAACTCGAGGGAGACAGAGCGTTGTCCATTTTTCATCAGGCACAGCTGGCTCCTGCAGGATCACCTTTTTTTAGACTTTAATGTGCTTCTTTGAGCTTTAAAATCCTCTCCAGGTTAAACGTTAGATCATTCTGACATCTCAGAGAAGTGAAACTATTGGAATAAAGTGTTTTTATCTGAAATTTATCAAGATAATTTATCTCTGTAAGGAACTCCCACTCAGTGGTTTAAGTGCTGTGGTTGTTGAGTAGCTCATTTATATTTTAACATCTGATATAAATTGTCAAATTAAATACACAATTAAATAATTTCTGGATTTAAAACTGCTGTATAGCAAAACTAAGTCTTTCAAATTAAAAAAGAAAAGATTATGATTTGTGTTTTTAATGGGAAGAACAGAAGTGCTGAACTCTTATTCATCCATTTAGTTTGTTCACTCAAAAATGAACAAACCAGATTGGACTTTTCACAAAATCTTTTTCATTTAGATCTACCTGTGTTAGCTGAAGAAGTGTGAGTAAAATGAACAGATTATATGTAACCATAACAAGTTTGGGCTTAAAATTTTTTTTGCCTATTTTTATCTTGAAACCTCATAAAAAATGACATCAGGTTAAAGTTACCTGATGGTCACTGACCAGTATGTGACCAAAGCCCAATGCCTTTTTTAAAGCAAAACTATTACACAGTATAAAGCATTGATACAGAATTGCCAAGAAATTTAGTCCTCATAACTATAGAAAAATGCTAATAATTCCAAATACTTTTCCTTAACATTGACATTCATTTGGTTAGTATAAATATTAATTTTGACCACATTTTTATCATTTGTTCATTAGTAACCAGAGCAAACGTTATTTTTTTCATCTGGTAAATTTCATTCTCAATCTCCATGTTCCGAGTCCAGTGGGTTCAAGAAGGAGCCTGATCACAGCAGTTATTGTAGCTTCAAATTAATACTAACTTTCAAAGCATATAAGTAAATGGGTTAAAAATGGAACAAAAGTCACTATTTGTTCATCTACATCTCCCACATACTGTGGATTTACTATATAAGAGGGTTCCATTCTACATGGAAGAATCACGTTGTTTTACATGACAACATACAGCTTCTTTAAAAAATAATCACCAGAGCTCAAAACTAAAATTAAAGATTTATTAAGTTTTGGTAACTCATCACGTTATTGTCTAAAAAACACTTGTCTTGAATTAAAAAAAGACATGACTGGATGTTTCCTTCATAATTTCTGAAGCACATGTTGGTGTTCAGGCCATGGGCAGCTCATGATAAGCTGCATATTGCCCCGTCACATGGTGGTACACCTGCACAAGACAGAGCACAAATGTGGAACTGTGAAGCAAGCATGCAGTGACGATGTGATTGAAATTCTCACCTGTCTCTCGATGTCAGCCAATAGGCTGCTCGCTCCCAGGCGGAAAAGATGTGGGCAGAGCCAATCTTTACCAAGTTCTTCTTTGATCAGTGTGAGCCACACCAGGGCTTCCTGGGCTGTCCGGATTCCCCCTGCTGGCTTAAAGCCCACCTGGAGGAACACACACATAGCTCAGCCACAGAAATATATCACTACAAAACCCCTAAAACATTTACTTCATACCTTCTATTTTTAAACCATGACATATGCTTACAAACAGATACAAACATTTTTATATCCACATATAAGATCAGTTTCTCCACTTATTCTTTTCTTTGACTTCATTTATAGATTAAGGTGAAATGTAAGCACCGGTTTCTCTCACTTGCTTAGTCTGGAAGAACTTTGATCACATGATCACAGCAGTGATTCAAACATGAACATGGTTTGATATGAACCGTCATAATACCCTTTGCTCCCCTTTCAGATTGGCTCTTCATTAATCCCTCAGTGGGGAAATTAATGTTTGTCTCGTCCATCTCTCTCCCCCACCCCTCGTCTCTGCTGAAGACAAACATCCTACAGCATAACGCAGCCACCTCCATTTTTCACTGAAGGGAGGCCATGGTTCAGGCTGACGCAAGCCAAAACGTTTCTTCCAGATGTTTGAGAGTTACAGGAGAATTTGTACGTCTTTATTGCAACAAGTAAACAATCTTAATCCTCTTCTATCAAGGAGTGTATGAGTTTTTATACATTTACATGTGATTCTTACTTTGTACATAGTAAACTCTACATACATAACAATACTCTACCTTGTGGCCAGTGCGCAAGAAGTAGTCACGGATAGCTCTCATCATCACTATGGCAACAGGATAAGTAGCATTAACAGCTTCCTTCCCTGTAGAGGTCTTGATGAAGTCTGAACCTGTTGGGATCAACAATGACAGTCAGCATTAAAATAATAAACCACTGCTGCTTCTGCTACACTGCAGTCAGCTGCTGGCTTCATGTTTATTTACAGGCTCATCATAATACTACAGCTGATTCATGACATTAATATGTGCTTGGAAGTGAGGATTAAATATTCATCTTATTCACACTTTAAAAGGCCATCATGTTCATTTAACTCCAGTTTTGTTTAGGACCGATGCTAATGGCAAATAACTGCAGACCCTGAAGTAGCTCCTACCAGTGAAGCGCAGCAATGACCGGTCTGCCAGCCTCTGCACAGGTTAAGCTGTACAGGACATCCCGCAGTGAGAAGGCAGGCATGAACATCTGCTCCCGGCTGACAAGACTATATCTACATGTTCATGAACTAAAAATATCCCCATGCTCAGACTTTTAATGTCCTCCTTCACAATTTGTGTTTTATTGGCTTTCCTGCTAAAAATAGATGATAAAATGATTCTCTAATAGATCCTCACAAACTGCAAGTAGCACACAAAATGTTCTCCATCTTCGTTCACCCTGATTTATAATGAGCGTTCATCTGGCCACTGCAGACCAGAACAAGTTAAACATTTCCTAGATCATTAAAGGCGTGTTCCGCAAATTCTTTTTCCAGTCAGGTCTTTTTTTTTTTAGCCTTCATTCGCTTTTCTCAATCTGGAAGATTCTTAGAGATTCATTATGAGGAATCTTAATTACCAGATAATGGCTAATGGGTATTAAATGTGTGTGTGGGGGTGAGAGGAGGGATGAAAGGTCCATTCATTTAGGTGGGCACAAGGATACTAGGAGAGGACAGTAGATTTAAATGGACATCACAGATTAATAGGTTGAATTATCATTTAATTTCAGAAATCTCATGTGCAATTTATAGGAAAAGTGGCAGATTAAGAAGCGAGTGAGGTGACAAAAGCAATGCATTAAAATAATGAACTCTATCTAACAATTGACAATTTGGTTTTGTAATCAGCTCATCGGGTGATGGTTAGCTAAGCAGAGATCAGGCGAGTCCAAACGTTTCATTTCTGCTAAATTCATTTTGCTTAAAAATTATGTTACAATCACAATATTACAGCATCACAATGGAGTGCATAATTATGGAGTTAAAATTAGTATGAAAAAGACTTTCAGCACAACTTTACTGTTCATACCCTTAGTCAAATCAACCTTGACCTTGAGAAGTCGCCTTAAGAATGACTAATGCAGCATTCATGTATCAGACTGTGGCAGGAAGCTGGAGTACCAGAGAGAACCAAACACCAACACCCAGGCTGGGACTCAAACCCTGATGGTCTCTGTGTATGAGTCCCTCTTTATGCCTGCACTGCCACCCTCCATACATTTCTCTGTGAATTGTGACTCTGTGAATTTGCCTACTGATGGATCTAAAATCTATAGAAAAAATTAAAATGTAGCTTGTGAAGCTGAGTTGCCTCACCACAATGAGGTACTTTTGGCTGCAGTTTCAGGCCAATAGGTTGTCATAGCGCCATTCATTTCCCTTGTTGTTGATTGCTGCTCATCGGAGTTTGGGAAGACTGTGGATGTTAGTTTCTGTGATAATGCTAAGATAGTTTCCACTGCGTATTAAAAACTTATTGAGGTATATTTGGTATCTGAACTATTTACATAAGCATCTTAAGAGGAGAGCTCAAATATTTGTGGATTTTAGCTCTTTGTGGGTGGTTGTGGTCCTTCACTCCCCCAAATACAGTCTTCATGGAATGAAGTTTTCACATGAAGCTTAGCCTCATGTGTGGTAAAGAGAAACTTTAGCAACACTAGCTTGATGAGCCTCTGATATGAGCTGTTATTCCTTCTTTATGCTTAATAGATTTAGTCCTCTTGTTTTTGTGTTTCAGTCTTCAGGTTGTCATGAATACAGCGTGGATCTGGTCCAAGTCATTTTCTGTTTGAAGTGAAGTTATGGTGAATATCACATGCAGAGTTCCACCTTCTGCATTTCCCAAAAATGGTTCATAACTTATAATCAATACATTTTGGTGTTTGTTAATAAACTCTGAATTATCCACACACAATAACTGATTTTCTCTCCCACACCAAGTTTGCTGAAAATATTTCAATTGAATAAATAAATCAGGATTTTTCGTACAATCGTCATTGGGAATCAGTTTACTGAGCTCCAGTGTTTTTTTGCTAAAACGGGTCTGTTGTTATTTTCATAACAACAGACCCGTCATCTTTACAGTTACAAAGAAAATTGTGTTGTGGGACTGACCCCCCATCATGGCCACCATGCTGGCTTTGTAGATGTTGGTGAAGGTTCCCAGGTCTCCAGTGGCCAGAATGGTCTTCATGTGGGCGTCACCACAGGCCTCTCGAAACTGGACAATCTCTCTGTACATGGCTGCAGAGACAGAGGAGACAGACTGTGGTTGTGTGGCAGAGTTGTCGTCTTGCAATCGGAAGGTTGTAGGTTCGATTCCAGCTTCCTCCTGCCATATGTCGATGTGCCTCTGGGCAAGGCACTTAACCCCAAATTGCCTACCGGTCTGCGTATCGGTGTATGAATGTGTGTGTGAATGGGTGAATGTGACTCTAGTGTAAAGCGCTTTGAGTGGTCAAAATGACTGGAATAGCGCTATATAAGTTCAGTCCATTTACCATTTAATGATAAGCCTTCCTCCTTTAGTCTTATGCATTTCCGCAGTTCTGGGAGATCTTACGCTAGAGAAGCGCACCTGAACATCACAGATATCACACTGGTGGACCTTTTTCTCCACTTCTGTTGATGCCAGCTGCTGATTTTTCAGGCACTGTGTTCAAAGGGACCCTTACCTTCAGGCACACGTTAAAACACCGTGGAAAGAAGATGTGCTGGAACAATGCATAAACAACCACCTGGTTCCACACCACAGCTTGCTTGAAACAACACACACTAGCTAACCAGATACTGTGTGTGAAACAGAAAAACCCTGACTTAGGCTACATTCACATTGTAATCCAGGTTCAGTAAGAGAGTTAGAACGGTCAAACAACAATACTCAAAGACAAGAGCACAAACAAGAGTCCCAGTTTCTCCATAACATCAGGAGTTGGGACGTTCCTCTGACCCTCCTTGTTTGGATGACAACTGACTTTTGTCATTTTGCACTGTCAAAATGGTCAAATGTTTAGAGTAAAGCATGAAGGAGAGGGTGATCCTGAGCAGAGAGTGGAAAAAGAGCAAAAATCCTTCTATCTGCACAGCATCCAGATGGACTGTTCAAACATGCAAAAAAACATGAAGAAAATCTAGAAAGTGGGAGTGAAAACTAACGGAAGAAATCAGGTCCAATTCTAAAAACCTCTTGTTGCATTTCCAACAGTCAACTCTCCTGAGCACATGGAGGACATGTCACTTACTTCCATTGTTGAATTTGCTTTTTTCAGACTCACTTTATATACAAGCTGCTTCTGTTTTTAATCTTGTGGAGAGGTTTTGTTGATGGACAATCTCAGCCTGGTTGGACCTGAAGTTTATCACATTGCACATGTAACATATTTAATGGGCATTTTTTTTCCCCCCTATGTATGTAGGCAGGGTTTGGCCAACCTTTTCTCATACTGATCCCCATGGGATAGTCTAAGTTACTAGATATTTGTAACTGTGAATTTGATGTGATTGTACCCCACAAGCAACTTTGAAAACGGTGGTCGTGTATTGGTTTCCTGTGCATTTGAATAGTGGTCTTAGTCTATTTTGTGCTTTTGTACCTGGACCTTTCCCTGCGTTACTGTACTTTTTTTTATTTAGTTTTTTATTCTCTTTCTTGTTTTTTATTCTATTGTTGTTTAGTTTTGTTTGTTGTAATGGGGCAAGTGGAATTTGGCAGGAGGGAGTGTAACATAGTTAATATATAGAATTCCACTTGTCATCACTTCCAAGTTTGGGTTCATGTGTAATGGGTGAAACAGCACCCCCTCCTGGTGGTTGGCAGTGTTAAACATAGTGAACACAGACACCTCGTTGCCAGTTCCTGAGAGATGGGTGCGAGGTGCTGTATCCCCTGTGATGGACCTGGTTCCCGATTAGTCCATACTCTGTTTTGTACAGATAAACCACATTTCATCTCATCCTGTCTCCTGATCCCTTATTCACACAACGCAGAACTAAGCGTTTATAATTAAAGAGATTACACACACTTCAGAATGTTTTTCTGGGCTAAGGGGGCTCTAGCACAGCCTACCTTCCCACTGTCCTGTCAGAGCCAGCGTCCTGTTGATGACAATATCAATCTCTGTAGCTCCGTCTCTCACCGCCATACAAACCTCCTGCAGCCGGGTCTCCAGGGGTGTCTGCCCAGCTGGAAAACCAGTGGCAACTGGGAAGGAACGGAAACACACACACGCACACTCACATCCATGACCTTTAACCTGTACAGAACAAATGTAAAAAGATTCCAGGAGACTCACCTGAGGCAACAGGTAGGATGGAGTTAGCTGCCTTTAGTGATCTGACAGCGTCGGCCACCCGAGAGGGATACACACAGACTGCTGCTGTGGTTAACCCTGGATCACATCAAGAGACCCAGTTAGGCTGATAAACCAGGCTGTGGCTCCCTCTGCAGGATGAACTGATACATGACCAGACCCGTCTTCATCTACGCAGCCTATAGGTCTGCTGCTGTGTATCATTTAAAATGGACTCAGCATTCTGAACAGCTGTTTCTTTAGCAAGTAGTGTTTATGACTGGACAGCTGATAGTCAGAAAACCTCTCTATGAATGTGTGTAGGCCATAACATATATTTTTATTTTTTATGAAAATATTTAACCTAAAACACCATATATATATATATGTTAGATGAGCAAGTTAAGTGAGGAAAACCTTAAGAGGTCTGCAGAGTCCTGAGTTCAGCCTGAAAACAGAGCACAGACTTTGAAGCAGGCCTTCTTGTCCTATATCAGCAGCTGACCTCACAAATAAACAGTCATAGAGTTCCCATGAAAATACACCTAACCCTGCTGGAAATCCTTTCCACCAGACCTGCAGCTGTTATACTGAAATGTCAATCCCTACAAGTTAAGGCTGGGATGCCAGTCAAGTTTCTATACATGTGAAGGCAGATGAGTAAATACTGTTGGTGATCTTGATAACCTGAGCAGAGCAGACCTTTGTCGTGCATGTCCATCCTCCTGAGCAGGTCGTATCGAACTGGCTGGATGGCTTTCACACACAGGCGATGAACGTTGGACGGCGTGTCATCTCCAGCCAGCGTCGTCAAATCGATGCAGGAAGCCGCCTTCAGCAGCCAGGCCGTCTGCAAGGTGAACAGGGGAACTGAAGAGCTTCTGAACATTTACAGCACTGCATGCATTATGGGAAAACTCACCTGCCACTGCTTCTTGGGGAGCTTTAGGCCTTGGATGTGCTGAGCCCTCTTCAGCACAGCCTGAGTGTTCACCCTCACTTTGGACAACCATTCCAGGTCTGCAGGTAAGAAAGAAGGATTACTACTGACATCAGTTTGTTTACATTTTACTTTAAAAACTGTTTTATTATTATCAGTATTATTATTTTTTACCATCCGTTTGTACACTCTGCACGGTCAAGAAAAACGTTTAGAGCTGTCATCCTGCAGGTTACTGACCCTCTGTTACTCATTAAACTGGAATGCTCACGCTTCTTCACTTAACTCTAATTTATTTAACTTCCAGTATTACACTACAGAATGAAAACCTCGTAATTAGTACTGAAAGCTCGGTTTATATGACAAGTCTATACAGACAAATGTCTATAAGAAAGTAGTAGCCGGACTGGGAGTGTTTTGCCTTACCGAGGTCAGTTCCGGGGTTCCTGGCTGACATTTTCACCGACAGATGTGTGAGGGGACCCGGCAGCAGTCCTCTCCTCCAGGCCCAGGCCAACCTGCTGTGTTGTGACACTTCCACCGAGCTGCTGGTAGGAAAGCTTCTCCTTCTCCTGACCAGCACGTGACCGATCACGTGTGAAAAAATGTCTCCACGAGAGGGCGCAAGATGGCAATGCACAACTTTTTTTTTTCAAAATCTTTATTGAAGTATTGACACGTGTGCAGTTATATCGTATAAAAACGTCAAAGGAATTAACCATCATATTAAACATTTTATGACTTCTTATTCTTATTCCTGTTTTGATCCTGTGAAGAACTTTGAACTTCCTTGTTGCTGAGATAAACTGCACTGATTTATATCAATGATGTTTGAAGTTTCCTAAAATTAAGAAAAACAAGTATTTTCTAATTGTACTTTTGATTAGTACTTCTCAGAGTACCTCTAACGCTGATCCAGGGTCTAGTTTTCAGGAATTAATTTCTCTCAAGGCATGAGAGGTGAAAACAATTTTTCTTTGGATTCTGTTAAAGTATTGCCCATATCCACAATAAATATGACAGTTGTAGTTTTGGAAATAAACCCATGTGTAGTCATAATCCTTTTTTAGATAATGCTATTTTTTGTTTATTTTTTCATCTGTAGCCTGTTATCCTTTTATCAAAAAACCCATTTTATAAAATGAAGGTCTTTGTACCTGTGGACAATTGCAAACTGCAGTCTGGTTTTTTGCCGTTTCTTTTGGACTAATGGATTCTTCCTCTGTCCTGCACCACTTTGGTGCCCGACAGTTTCACTGTGAATGATTGCCTTACCAGCTTCAGCAGCTTCTTCACAAGATCTTTGGTTTGTGTTCTGGGTCCATCTGAACATTTTGGACCAAAACGTTTATATCTCACACAGAACCGTCTCCTTCCTAAGCAAAACGATTGGTTGTTTTAACTGACATAAAACAAGAGCTGTTTAGTCTGCTTTAACTTCAAACGGTGAAAAAATGTGGATATGTTTTTAATCAGTGCATGTAAACTTATTGCTTCTACTGTATGAAATCAAACTTTAAAACTACTACAATCAATATTATGCAGTCATGTTTATGTTTTCATGTTTTGTTGGGAACATTTATAGTCAGCAATGCCTGGAGAATCCAGCTGGCCTGACTGATCTAAAACAGTGGTTGGAGAGAAATTATGCTTATATAAAAGTTTCCGAAACAGAACAGCTTCTTGGATCATTTAATAGGTTTCTTGAAAGAGAGATTTAAAAAGTGTAATTTTCTGTCAGTCATGATGTCTTGATTTGTGATGTCTGGAGGTCAAGAAAATACATGATTTAACAATAAAAACACTTCACAAATTCTCCTGGGAATTATTTGAGTTCTAAATAGCATTAAGAACGTGAGACTTTTTATGAATATATTTTATTCACCAGTTTGATCAAGTGTTCAGATGAAACTGCAAAGATATAAGTGGCTACACTTAAAATCAAACACAAAATATTTCTGAACTGAAAAGGCAGATCAAAACCCATTTAGTGTTCCATTATGCTTCAAACTGAAATCAAAAACTTGCATAGATATTTCATTGCTTCTCAGTGCAATATCATTCAGAATGAATCAAATACAAATCAGAGAAATTTGGTGTAACTAAACCTACAGATCCACAAGTTGAAGCTACTGCACAAACAAAGCCAAGACTTTAGGTTATGTAATATATGATCTGGCTGTTAATAGATTCTAAACTCATGTTTACTCAAAATTCAACCATACTTTATTGATCCCAAAGGGAAATTAAATGTTATTGTGACTTATATTAATTCAAGATTTTTTGGAGTTATTGTAGATATTGATGGCTGTTGGCAGGAATTATCTGCCAACAGCAGATATCTTAAGAAGCCTCTGACTGAAGACTCTGTTGTATGACAGACTCACGGAGAGAAAGCCTAGGATTGTTTTAAAGCATAATTATAATTATGCGTTTAAACAACAGAGAAGAAAAGTGTTGAACCTCATTTCCATATGATGACGCACTTCTTATCCAGTGAACCTTTGGATATACGCCAGAAGAAAGATGCTTCATCATCTTTGCTGTTGTGTCCATGCAGAAACCCTGCCTTCACACCTCACTACAGATTCCTGCAGTAATGTCAAACGCTAGCTGAATCTGTCTGGAACGCTTGTTAGATACATATGGATATATTTGTGAAAAGAGACAAACGGTACAGCATGTGGATCTAGGACAACTAAGATAGAGGAACAGTGTTTAAATAAAATGTTAGAATAGATTTAAGTCACTTCCTGACTTAAATCTATTCAAATATTACAGAGGATGAAAATCGGGTACACAAGGAAAGAATAATGGTAACTGTAACATAACCAAAAACTCCTTCATCAATACTTGCCTCTCAAACTCATGATGAATTGACTTGTCCTGAAAAACATTACATGAGCATACTGCAATGCCAACACTTAGCATCTACAGCCTTTAAAAAGTATTTTTTCCATTTCCTTTTTGTAAACACACCAGAGCACTAAAGGATCTTCATTAAAGCACTAAAGGATCTTCATTAAAGCATTAAAGGGACTGTGACTGGTGGCTGTGATTGGAAACCACGGTCATGTTGGAGAAATCAGCAAATGACTTATCCCTCTAGTGCTCTGGTGTATTACCATTACCTCAGATTACAGTTTCAAAGATGGTCAAGATCTGTCACTTTAGCTACATTCATCAACTTTGTTGGTGTTTCATTCGGTCAGCACATCAAATAAAAAAAACAACAACATCTTTTTAATGAGCTGTTTGACTTTCCCTAAGCGTTTGCCTGCCAGCAGCGCTCCTATAGGTCAACCTTCCCACCAGTGGCAGCGCTGCTGGAGGCTGAGGCTCCGTCCTCAGCCGGGCCTGCAGCCTGAAATGCCAGGGAAGCAGAGTTGATGCAGTAACGCTTTCCAGTGGGCTTTGGACCATCGTCAAACAGGTGACCAAGATGAGCTCCACACTGAAACACAGGAACATTCAGCAGCACTGAGCAACCTGTCTGGAACCTCCAGCACACTTTGTGTCTGAAGAAAACATTTGCTGTGAATCAGAAAATGTTTGTTTATTGTGTATAAACACAACAAACAGAAGAGAAAATTATTTATTTTCAACCAAGAAGATGTTTTCTGGTGGGAAAATTAAAAAATATCAATATAGCAAATGCTGCAATGCTGGATGGGTCTGTGAGGTTTGAATGCCTCCTTACCATCGCCCTCATCTTTACTTCAATCCACAGTCAGATTTCAGTTAGGATTTACTTTGACTGAGCCACTCCAAAACATCGATATTATATCCATTGCAAATAAATTGTTGCTAAATAAAAATGACTAATTAAAATAGTACATATATCTACCATATATATGAATAATTTTGGACATAACTGTGCATACCTATTGGTCAGTCTTCTCATTATAATTGTAAAGGTATACATACAATTTCTGCAAATTGAGAAATACTGTATTTGATAAGCTATTTTTTCTGTTTATTAATAATAAGTATGTATGTTAAAACTGTAACATTTTGAAGCACTTTCAACTAGAAATTAGAGTAGTTATTGGTCTTTTTGTTGATGTTCTATATGAGAGCGTAGATTTACACACACAGCTTCATCACACACCCTGCTCCCCAAACACAGCGTGAGGGTGAGGGATGAAGTGGGATTTAGGCTAAAAATGATTTTGAACTGATTTACTACATGAAGTAAACGAGTTTACGACAAGAACTTTAAGGAAACTTGATAAATAAAGTGGTGTGTTGCAGTTCACCTGGCTGCAGGTAGTCTCCACTCTGTGTAAGCCGTAGGAGAAATCATCAACCAGAGAGACGGACTCCTGCTTCAGCAGGTCGAAGAAGGATGGCCAGCCTACGCATGGTTTGTTTAAGAACACAAGAGGAATGTCAGGATAAAAACCTCTGTATTACATTTCACACTCCTGTCTTCATCAACATATAAAATATATATACCATATATCTAGAATAATGAGTCACATCTGAAACCTGAGCTTCAGCTTGTTTTATATGAATCAGGTTTGGTTATTGAGAAGTAAAATAAATAACTACAGATGCAAATGAGGGAGTTCAGACAGACAGAAATCTGACAGAAGTTCTACTCACCTGATCCTGAGTCAAATTTAGAATTTGAGCTGGAAAATGAAACAAAAATAGCTCATATAAAGCAATGATATAATTTAGTCTTATGATCTTTTGTTACAAAAATAATCCTCTGATTTAACAGATTTTTTATAACTATACTGTGAGTTTTAATCCATCTCTTGGCCAAGTACAGACACCTGGGCAGTCGATTATGGTGTACAGAGCTCCTCACCTGAAGAGAGGAGCCCCACAGACAACACAGTGATAGGTTCCCTCATCTTTATGGTATGTGAACTCCCCAGTAAAGGCACTGTGGGAAAGGAAGTATTAATAAATAATAAAAGCACAAAATGGTTCAGCAGTAAGTAATATGGTACTATGCACTGTAGGTTTATTGTCAGGCTAATATTGTATCGTCAGATTCTACTTCCATCCTGTGCTTCAGCCAATTGCAAAATATTCAAGCACACAGTGAAGCCTGAGATATATTCCATGACAATTATAACATTTAAAAAAAAAGAGACTGATTTGTGACATGGCAGAGAACCAAAGCTCTATCTTCCCGACCTCTCGGTTCCTCTTTCCTGAGTGACATGGAACTGCTTTGGGGTGAGGCGTTTCCTCAGTTCCTCCTGAGGGAAACTCACTGGCCAGGTCTTCTTACTCCTACAGGCTCCTGCCAATAAAGACAGGAAAAAAAGTTCAATCCAGATTTCTTCTGTAGCTCCAGAAGAAGAATCAACATGTGATTTGCTTATCTCACTATATATAAAGCATTACACACTGAATCTTATCCACTGATCAGCCGCAAACTGAAAACCTTCTGCTGGGACGCTGGCAGCAGATCCTTATGAGATTTGAGTTTGATGTTCACAAGTTAAACTTTTTCATATTTATCACTTTAGAAGTACAAACTTAAAACATATTTTATTTAGAATTTGGGTGATAGCCTAACAAAAAATAGAATATTGATATGTAATCCAAAGCTTTTTACCTTTAAAAATCTGAAAAGTGTGATATGTGCGTGTGTGTGTGATTTCAGTCCCCTTATATTGAGTCCCCTTCATATAAAGCCAATATAAAAGTAAGTGCAACTGTCTTCAGAATGTAGCAGTGTGTCAAGATGTAAAACCATAGCAGGATGAGCAATGAGTACCCCACACACACACACACATGCACACACGCATACGCACACCCACAAGCACACACACATAACAGCTACGTGTGGTGTGTGTTTCTGTCAGTCTGCAGCAGACTACAAGCTAACCATGTTTGGAACAAGAATTTCATGTCATTTCTGACATTGTTGCATTAGGATAAAACTATGTTGTTAATAGGTTTCGGGATGTGGCTGATCAGTAAAAAGCCATAATGTTACAATTGGTCTGGCAATACAAATTTTTATCACGTCCTTCAACCTGCACAGACATTTTTTATATACATTGCAGTGTTGTGAACGTCCTTTAAAAAATAATAAACAGAAATTTGAAAAATGTGCAGCTAGACAATTATTTAAGAAAGTGACTTGGTGCATGCAAGTTGCAGCAAAGCCAGGCAATTGAAAGTTTGTTCTAGTTAAAGGCTAACCTCAACAGTAAACGCTGAATTTAAAAGTAAATAAAGATCACCTTCTCTATAGCCACAACTGAAGTGTAATGTTTGGATCCCAGACTAGACTAGAGTCAAAAGCAACATCACTTGGTTGCTTTTGACAACCATGTGATGTTGCTTTTATAATAAAAGTAACAAAAGCAATACAGTTTCAAACAAAATTTGCTGTCCATACAAACTGTACTTTGACTTTACATTATGAGAGGCAGCATCCAAAATTTTAAATTTTGGATGCTGCAATGATGACAATTATATTGCATTTAGTTCTTGTTTGAAACAGCATGCTCTAAATGTGACTGACATTCTGCTTCCAGAACTTCCTACCTGTACCCTTCAGGGCCCTACACAGTGCCCAAGCTAGAGCCAGGATACCCAACCCTCAACTCCAAGACCTCCACTGTGAGAAGTTTGAACTGTTCCCACTAGAGAATGTCAAGAAGATGCTAAATCCGCCCATCTAGTTCCCCTGGATGCACAGCAATCCAGCAGACCTACTCAGTGTTCCTACAGAGTCAATATTCAGATTTTTCTGCAGAACGTTACTCCAAAGTATCTGTGGAGAATCTGCCTGTTCAGATTTTTTCATAGCTCATATCTACAATCTTTTAAAGAAAATGTAATATCCAAAATCCAGACAAAATTCATAATTACATCAGCCATCAAACATTTTACCAATCTTTCTCTTCATTTGACAGAAATAGACTTCCCAAAAGATAATAAAAAGTGGGATTCCCATTAGTTGAAGTACTGGCAATGTTACACAGGTGTTAGTATCCAGAACCAGGTAACTCTCTCTGCCCTTTGGGCCCCAACACCAAGCTAAACTACCTCAGAGATGTGGCCAACCCCGACTCTTCAGGACAGGGTTGGTCAGCCAGGTGGAGAACATCCTCAAAGCAGTCTTTGTTTCATCATATAACAAGATCATGCTGCAGCCTGCAGTGTTGAAGTGATAGTAAAAGAAAGTTTCGAAAAATTCTAAAAACAAAATATCTTATGTGCTGGCACAATCACAAGTGCCAGCACATAAAAAAGAACATATAATGCACTATATACAAAATATTTAGGTCACATGATTAAAACCTCTTATTCATAGTAAGAACTAAATCCTAAAATACACCAATAATTTGAAGCATGTCTTATGATAGAGATGACATGCATTTCTGTCAAAATGAAAACAGAGAAAATCCACTAGATCTTCTCATTTTATTTTGCATTTGTATTATATGTGATTGTCTTTTCCTGCTAAGCTGCAGGTCCTGCTACAGTGTGAAGCATGCTGCTTTCAGGGGTTTCTGACTCTCTTTCTGGAAAGCTATGGTCAATGCCAGAGACTGAAGTACACCCTGGACTTTTTTCTGAAATCCTCCACTGTATTTAGCCTAGACTCCACCAGCAAACTTGACAAATTCTCAAGTCAACCCAGATAGATTCTGCCAATCTTGCAAAAAATATAGTCTTTATGGAACAAACCTGACTCAGATAAAACCCTTTCTTTGTTGCTCAGTTTTTTCCACATTTCCTCTGCTGTTTTGATGATTCATCTTTGGTAGAGCTCTCCAAGTCTTTGAGGTTGGAAGCTCTCTTTGCCATCGCCCTAATCTTTCGCTCCCTCCTTATTCTTGGATAAGATTCAAGTTGGCCATTGTAAATATGTACACGATCTTCAAATTGTATAATTAGTTAGACAAATATGGACGATGTTTTACAAATGAACTGTTATGTAGGTGCTGATTAGTGCCGGGTTAGTGCCAGAAACAGTTCAGCATGTGTCAGGGATGATGGTTCTATGACAACTAGTTTAACATTTTGTCTGAACATTTGCAAGATGTTAGTTTGTGATTGATTACAGTCAGAACTTGGATCAATATAGTTGGTCACTTCTGATTTTAGAGGATGTTCTTGTGCAGACATTCATCTCTATCAATTTGTCAGGAGACCAAAAGACATCAGTTACCATCTAAATATTTACTGTTGCCTTAAATTAAGCCAGACTTTGTCCAAACAATAAATTATAATTTAACTGCTTCTATCACATTGTGAGGAAAATTGCCTTGCGTTCTTATTCAGCTTTTTAGATTCTTAAATTGTTTGATTTTCTTTAATCAGGATCTTTTAATGTTGAAGGATTCAGGACAAAAAAAAATCCAAATCTGACAATTAACCTTCATTTAGACTTGGTTTGGTGAGCAAACAGGTAAAATCTCTGTTCTCTGAAACGACCAGTTAAAAGCTAGAAATGGTTTAGAAAACAAATCAAAACACAGCACACCACTCCAGCAATGCGTTAACGTGTTAATGTGAGGCAGAGCCAATCAGACACACAGCACGCAGTCAGTGGACCTGAGGGGAGACTGCAGGACCTCAGAGACACAGGCTGACTCTTGGTTATTAGATGCAGAAGATTGAAGCCCGACATGGTTTCTGGAGAAAAGGCAGAGCCCACACAGCACTAGAATCAACCCGCCCTCAGCAGGGCCAAAACTGGATGAGGGACAGAATGACAAGGGAAAACAGGATCATGTACAGTATTAGAAACCAAATCCAGGCTGCTGGATCACTGAAATCCACAATGTTGATGAAGGTTCTGATGAGGATTGGTTAAAAAGGACACAGAAAATGTTACAGCCACTTATTTGTTCATGGTTTACCATGAAGATTGATTCTGTTTCCAGGCTTTGCTAATCTTACCTTTTCACTTCCAGCTATAGTTTGGTCATCATTCAGTGGAGACCTTCAAAACGATTGGCAGCAGCAGTGTTTGTGTTGACAATGCTTTACTGTGCAGACTTATCAGATCCAAGTTCAAAAAGAACTTTTTTAGAGAAAACTTAAAAAAAATGAAAATGAAAATCCTTGGATTCCAAATAAAATTGTGTTTACATTCTGACAAACATTGATCAAAAGATTCAATGTGATTTGGTTGTGAATTGGCTCAATGTGAAAAAGCTGAATTGAATATTGGTTAAAGAATATATTCCAGTATTCCAGGGTGTGCTGTGGTGGCGTAAGGAATAGCGTGACCCACATTTGGAGGCCTTGAGTCCTCGACACGGCCGTTGCGGGTTCGACTCCCAGCGATATTTGCCGCATGTCTTACCCCCTCTCCTTCCCCTCTTCCTCTCAGCCTACTGTCATATAAGGGACACTTGAGCCCACAAAAAGCCCCCTGGAGGGGAAATTAGAATATATATATATATATATATATATATATATATATATATAGATATATACCACCTTAATTTATCTGATATCTCTCTCTTCGGTGAATCAAAATTAAATACTTAACTTAATTTTTGGTCAATAGGACTAATTATTGGATTGCAGTTAAAATCGATATTTAAATTTTGTCCGTTTCTGTCAACTGTAACTGCACCTTTGTTTTTTGTTTTTTTTGATGGTAATCTAATCTTTGTAATTGTTAATCAAACAATTTAAAAATAATAGCAATTCATAAAATGGAATATGATTGTCTATGTTGGGGGGAAAAACAGAACAGAAAGCTGGTTACCTTCTGGCTTCTTTAAGGTAAAGTATTTACTTCATCTCCTTTTGATGCCGTATGACTTGCTGAACTCTTCCTGGGAAAATGATACTTCAGATTGGTGCCAAAATAAAAACTAAAGTTTGGAAAGAGGAAAATGTAGATATTTACTGAAACGTTTGGGAACACTTTTTAAACGGGTTGTGAATAAGACTGTCATAACTCTGTCATAAACATGTCATGACACCTGTCAAGAACATGGGTAAGCCTTCATAAATATTTATGACTGTAGTTATAAAGTGTCATTCGGTAAATCATGACACTTTAAATACAAAGTTGACATTATTCAAAATGTCTTTGTTATGACAACTTGACATTAACCAAGAAATTATGATCTGACATAAATTTGTTCTAAAAGTATTACTGATTGAACTTTAGTTTTAATATCAGTAAGGTACATAATTTTTAAAGTTTAACCAGTAATACTTTTATAAGTTTATGACAACAGTCATAAATATTCATGAAGACTTGTTCATGTTTATGGCAGGTGTTATGTCATGTTTATGATGTGTCATGACAGTCTTATTCACAACCCGTCAAATAAAATCTTATCTTTTTGTTTGCTGTTTTTTTTTACCTGCAAACTGTGTAAGGCCTGGTTAGTCACTTCACTGGTTCCTATTTTAGAAATATTTAGATTCTCCAGCTCTACTCCTGATTCCCAGCACCAGCTGGTTGGAGCTTCCACTAGGAAAACTAGTTCATGTTTTAATATTGTTGTTAGACTGTTATGTAAAAGTATTGAGTTAACATTGTTGTAAACCAGGGGTCTCAAACTTCAGGCCTCGAGGGCCGCTGTCCTGCAGTTCTGAGATGCAGGACAGAAGCCCTGCATCAGGTACAAAACACTGGACTGAAATGGCTTAATTACCTCCTTCTTGTGTAGATCAATTCTCCAGCACCTTGCTAATGACTTAATTATTCTATTCAGGTGTGGTGCAGCAGAAGCACATCTAAAAGTTTCAGAACACCGGCCCTCGGTGATTGGAGTTTGAGACCCCTGTTGTAAACAAAGTGCATATTTTAACACTTTAATCTACTACTCTACCTAGAACAGCTGCAGGCAGAGCAGAGGGGTAGGCTGTGTTGCTGCCTTTCCCAAGGGTACAATGTAAGGCCAAGAGGAGCCCACGTCTAAGGAAGACAGCCATAAACCTGTGATGATACAGACAGAGATACACTGATCACTTCTGAGATGTTAGGGAGGAAAAAGAACTGAAGTGTTCCAGAGCAGATTTCTTTTCCCCTCACTGTGTTCATATAAACTAACAAGTCAGTCCTGTTATCTACCAAAGCTCATCAACACCATGAGATACTAAGCTGAAGTATGAATCATTTTCCCAGAAAAGCTCAGCTGTGAGATGTTTGCATGCGCTCACAATCAGATGCTTGGGAAGCATCCATTCAATAGCTTTCTCATCACAATATGAAGTCTGGCATGAAGCAGATGCAGATGCACTAAAGTTTTAAAAAGTTGTGTTTTAAAAATAGAGAAATTCTGCTCCTACGGTTTAAAAGTCCTGGGAAGGCATTGCATTAAGAAAAGTCTTGTTTCAGCATCACTTTTGGCTATTGGACAGCAAACTGTGCGTTTCCAGGGTCAGACCATGGAATGTCTATTTGTCTTCGCCTCTAACGTCACAGCTATCTGATAAACAGTAATGTTTATTTTGCAACAATATGCTTGCATTTTTTTGTATTATCATGCCAGTCTTTAAGCCTCGAGCAGTTACTTGCTGTTTCACGAAACTGCTGTATACTCTATAAATAAAGATTGGGGGGAGGGGTGGATCATCGTAGAAACCATACACACTTAGCTTGGCTAGACTTTATGGCTAACTGTTACGTACTTTAACACCGCAGCCATATTGGAAGAACGGGTCTACTGGGACTGCTCTGTAACCATACAGGACATATTTCATTTGTGCTCATGAAGATGTCATTTATTGTTCGACAAGTTAAACGGTTCCCGAAAACTAACGCCTACTAAACAAAAACCCCTTCTCAGACGGGCTGGACTCAGCAGATTATCTGAACAACCAACAGATCCTGAACACCTGGACAGCCAGGTCCCTGCCTGTATTCAACCGCCGGGTTTCATAATAAAATGTTAAATTATTGTAGCGTTATCTCCAATTACATTAATAACAAAAATGTGAAATACTGAAGAACTAGTCATTTACTACAAATATGTTAATCGTTTAATAAAACGCCCCGGTTTATTGCCATACAAAGCTAGTTTTCGCCGTAAAACAATATAAATGTCATACCAGAGAAGAGCAGAAGCAGGAGCAGCACGATGTTAGCTGGTAAACGTCCTGTTTCTGCGGCTGATAAGCCTTGTTTAAAGCGGTACATCAGGTGGAGTTCGGATGAACGGAGTTTCTTACCACCAAGCTGAGGCTGAATGAGCCGAATGTCAAGGCACCAACACATTACCTTATATGGGCACAAATGTGTTTAGCTTCCGCTTTGCTTTCCGCATGTCTTCACCAAAGTACATGTGGTCAAATGAATATGTGCACATCATTCATGAAGTGTTCTATGTGCAGCAGCAACAACAAAATAGCAGAAATATTAATTTATAGACACGTTTAAACTCTGTGTACGTACTGCCTCCTACCGTACAAGAGTGAAAAACTATTCATCATGTCCTCTGAAAACAGTCCTGGTTGCTCTGTTTTTCATCTGAGCTTGGCAAGTAGAGTTTGGCTTAGGGGACATTCATAAAGTTTTTTTGTTTTTTTTTTTACAATCATATGAACAACAAATCAGAATCATATTTGGACACAACATTACATACAAATGCACGGGTTTTTTTGGGGGGGTGGGTGGAAGCGTGGGATGAGGGTGTAAAATTTTAATAAAATATTGCTATTTTAACTCTCTCATCCCTAATTCTATTTTTGTGTTAGGATGTGTTTCTCTTCTAAAATATCCCATTTTACATAGAAACTACTACTGCATTACCTTTTTACTTCCTTTGAACACAAAAAATACTCCCGGATCAGTGTTTCTGCTGCTTCTTTGTGTGTGTGGGTGTGAGAGAGAAGAGAGAGAGAGATAGTGTAATGTTCCATTTTCTCAAAACCCTATACCATCCTGGTAGATAGGCCCTCACTCTGAGTGAGGTTCTGGTTCTGCTCAGGTTTATTCATGTCAACAGGGAGTTTTTCTTTTCCACTGTCACTAGATGGACAGTGGAGTAATTGCTGGAAAGTCAATGACAATGCGAGGGATTGTCCACAGTAATACAATGTCATCAATGAGAATTACAAAGTGGTCTTATATAAAATACCAGTGTCCCTTGACTCTAAACATCTTTAAAGATTTTTTTTCTTTTTTTCTTTCCTTCCAAATATTTTTTAGTGTTAAGAATTAAAGACACTTACTACTGCAGTGTTTATAATATTTTGGTATACCATATTTAGTTCCATTTAAATTGAACAGAAAGAAAGTCTCTATAAAATACAGCTGTGATAAATTTGAATTTAGAGAGGTTAAAAGACCTTTTGTTATCCTGGAATTATTAGTTACATCAAAACAATTTGTAAATGAAGCTATTAAGCAGAAACTTGATCAATTGGTTGCTGTAATTCTAAATTATGTTGAGATTTCTTTTGTATATTTACATATAGCTAAACCTTAAAACAGGATTCCCTTCATTAGAGTTGAATTTAAACATTAATATAAGTTGGTAAAATAAATTTAAACTCTTTGAAGCTTCAGTACATTTGGTAATTTCAATTTAAAAAAATATGCACAAAATAAGGACTGACAATAAATGTTTGATGAAATTTTGACTGACTCCAAATTCTGATGGCAACATTTGTGTCTGTTTCATGGAGTGAATGTTTGTTATGTCTTGGGTTAGAGTGAATGTTTGTATATCTTGTGTTACTAAACAGTGTTTACTAGACTATAAAAATTTGTGACTGATTAAGAAATTCAAGTTTTTAAAGGAATATTTGGCATGGAATGATTTAAGATCTTAGGTTGTTTTCGAAATGGTCATTTGAATGAGTTTGTGAATAAGTCTCCTGTTTTTTCAGCTTCTAGCAAAGAAGAGCTGCTTGCTGACAGTGGCTCACCTGAGAATAATTTCAAATGCCATTTCTGACTTAGAGGAGAAATTTGGCTTGTAAAAACAAACTTATGCTCATTTTGCATTTGATTTGGCTATTCCAGGGAAGAGTGTCCTTTATGGTTGACTCGGAGCAACTGCTTTAATTGTGAAAAAAAAAGGGAATTTAATATTCATTTAATATTTCCAGTAAATCTTTTAAGGTGAGATCTGGTGTGCCGATTAGGGATTGATCTTAGCTCCACAGGGTGTAAAAGTTACATCACTCACACATGGACTCACACAGATGTGCAATTTGACTTGTCTGCTCTAAACTATGTTTATAAATGGAAACTTCCAAAATTTGATTCTTTTACAATTTCTTGCACAAGTCATGACCAGTCATGTTATGATTGTGAGAAGCGTTGGTTCTGTGCCCCTGAGAAACTGTCAACATCTGCTTTGTTTTGGAACATACACAGAACAGGTTGGACTGTCTCTCTCTCTCAGCTGAGCAGACAATTTTTAGTTTGGGTTCCTGACTTTTACTTATAAATATCTTTGGCAAAATTACATAAATTGTCATGGAGTAATGTTGGGACATTTCTTCATGCATGTAAAACATTTGAGTCACCTACTGACTCAAATGTAATGTTTTCTGAAAGAGCATTGGCATTCAAAAAAAAGTTGCATCATTATGCAGTACACTTTAAAAGAAACCAGTGGAATTGGTTCCTACCACAGACCTAAACTTTGAAGCATGCTCTTTTATCTCAAACAGATCTCTCTCCATATCAAAAAAAATATATATATATATATATATATATATATATATATATATATATATACACATATATGTGATGTAAGTATAATTAAATAATTGATTAAACTCATTAAATTGGTTTGCTTTTAGATTTGAAGGGAAATTATGGACTTTTACCTGTTTGGGTCAAGGATTTTGTGACAGCTCCACTATCTATAATGCTCTTACCCTGATTTAGTGCTGTTTGTTTATGACTGCATTATGTTCCTGTTACCGTTTTGATTGTTACTTATTGCCATCTGTGTGACAAAATGACTTTTTTAACTATTTGATGATGAACTTCTTTGAATTGTTCCTCCTAAGGGAAAGTCATTTTTGTTTGTTATTACTGGAATGTTTAGCAAATGAGTGGAAGCTCTCAGGGACAGGTCCTTCCTTCCACTTCTGTCTGCGATGATGCAATGTTGTCTTACTGTCAAAACCTATCGAGTTTTCAGACAGTGAAACTCACATTGCCACATCCTGCCGAGACGTCACCCCTTACCATCAAACCAGGTGACTGCATCGTGGTGAAAGACTTCCAGAGGACACCTTGGACCGCCCCACGCTGGGGGGGACCATTGCAACTACAGCTGTCAAGATGACTGAGAGGGCGACTTGGATTCCTGCCAACCACTATAAGAGAGTCAAGACAACGCCCATCCTGGGGTCCAACAGCCGATAGAACATCAGACCGAGGAGGACAACTTATTTTACTGCTGCTGGTGTTAAGTCCTAGTAACCTCTGACACTGCAGACAGCCACGTTTCATTTCCTAGATCACCGAAATACCTTCATTGTAATTGGTGTTAAATGCTAGTAACCTCTGACACTTAACATTCTGGAAGAGAGAAAAGACGACACAAAGGAATAAGGAAGAGACGAACATAATATTTGTTGCTTTTGTACATCAAAAAAGGCGAACTACTGCTGTCCGCTGGCGAGTGGGCAAAGTATGGAGCAAAGATTAAAATAAATATTAAGAGTTCGGGAGACAAACAAAACCAAAGGCAAGAGAATTCATCATCACAGTGATCAACTTGTTGAAAGAGTATAGTCAATTTGTATTGACTATTTTTACTCTGATTTCTTGTATTTTTTGTCCTCCAGTAATATTGAAGATAATGTGTAACTTTTTTTTGTATTAAGTGGTGTTAATCATTGATATTTTCCGGCTAGTATCCTAGCTTAGCTTTCCTATACTGCTTTGCCAATCACAGAAATAAAAACAAATGTATGTCCTTTCTGTATGTTCCACATATGCATTTTATGGT